CAGTGGAAAAGAGCACCTGATTTTCTGCCAGCCCACACACGCTAAGATTTCTGGTACCAATATTTCAGCACACAATTCCATCAAATATTGACATAAGGCAGAAAGATCCTCAATTTCCAGAAAAGCAAATATTAAAAGATAAAATCCACATGTTTTCAATTCCAATCTGATTCCGATACATGAGCTGTTTTTACTTTAATATTTTCATATAATAAACATATATAATATATTTACACTTTTTAAATATTTAAGCTAGTAAATATAGATGAAAAAAATGTATGGCAAAAAGTCTTAAATTCGGCTACTAGAAACATACATGAAGTACTATTCCACCTCGTATGTACATCTTGATTTGTGCATTTTTGTGGCATTTTGAGTTAAATTTGAATATCTTCCAAGCGAGGATACGCAAGCGGCAAATGCTTAAAATGCACCACAATTTTTCTCCCACTGGCAACAGTGTCACTTCTACTTTGTTGTGATCACAGCCTCTCATGTATCACAAGCTGTAGTGAGAGCACAAAACAGCCGAAGCTAAAGACTCCCAAATCAGCCATTGCTTTTTGCATAATACTTATTACAATAGTTTATTGTGTAAAATTTGTTTACTGGAATTTTCCAACTACTCCAACTTCTCAAACCTTTATTTTTTACAAAGATTGCAAATCTCTGTGCTGCTAGTTCCTGTTAAAAGCATAAAATACTCCCAGATCATCACCATCTAATCTGTTGTTCTTACACTCCCCCTATGGCAAAGGGTATGCACATGATGTCACTGCTTCTCACACCCACTAAGTGGCAAACAAACCGAGTGGCAGCGTTAGCGTTCAGCTTGAATGCGGCAAAACACACGTCTAAAATGGAAAAGAGCTGTCATGCGACTCACTGTACAAATACATTTAACATGAAATAGGAGGAAGATATCTTTTTAGAGACTGCCAAAAACTAAAAGTATCAGATGTGGATCGGTCAGGTATGGCCGATACCCGATCTGTGAAATAGTTCTGGATTGGCGCCGATACTGATCCAAAAATTGGAACGGTGCATCTCTAGATAAAATCACCACCTCTGATACAGTGTCTACACAGAATCCTCAAGTAACTTAGAAGAAGAGTCTGTGTTATACCATCCAATGCTATTACCTCTCAAAGGCACTGTTTTTAGAGCAGCCCAAAACGATGCTAATCTCTAGATGATTAGCTTCATTCAGTATCAAACAACTTCAAGGTTTAGGAAAGGAACCCAAAATTTCTGGATGAAGGTGGAGAAAATTTGCATGTAAAAGGTAGCAGTTTCTATATATCACCATATCATTATTTGAATTCACTTGATAACAAAAAGTAAATTATGGGGAGTCTTGAATTTTTCTTTATCGTATTTTAGTCACAGTATGATTTGGAGTGTTTGAAGATTTACACACAATGACACAATGGCAAAACAGACAGGAACCTTAAACAAGAGCCAGAAACATCAATGGGCCACTTTGGCTCCTCCTCATTTAGTGCTAAACAGAATTGTAATGTCAATGTACTGTCAACTTAACAATTTAAGGACAATGTGAACATTTGACATCTAAACTATCATATCCATAGAAGGGACCATTTATCAGCTAAAATATTGCCCCAAACTATTCACAATGTCTTAGTATTTACTCCCAAATAAGTCTTCCTCAGAATTAGTCAATAATTTCAATGAGACTATAATTGTAATAAACCATCCAATTGTTTGTGAATACAGACTCCCATGACCATCAACAACACTATCTGCCATTTGTACCACAGTAGCCCTTCTGTTGTTTCATAGCAGAGGGAAAAGCCTTTGTTCAGAATGTTCACATCTCACATTGACAAGTTTTGACTGCCCAATACCCTGTCGGCAGATCGTAGTTTTATCACCATTCAGACCACTGTCATTAGGTACTCTCCAAGGCTGATCTGAGCACTCCACAAGCTTTGCCATTTCGGAGATGTTCTGCCGTGTGTGAGGTCATGTTTTGGCTCATCAATGTATGTATATGTAGGACTGTATGTATGTATATATAAGGCAAACTATTTAGATCATAATTTTCTTGTTTCAGTCAATATCAATTATTACCATATAAAAGCTATTTCTTTATTTCAGGGCTCAATTTTTGCTTATAATTCTTCTAGGGTTGCCTTTAAACAGGTTCAGAACATGAAATAAGGTGACAAATTGAAAGGACTGCAAAATGAAATGTAATTTTGATAAATAAATCAGACAAAAAAAACTTTTTTTTGTCATAGGGTATAGCACTAGAAAATGTCAACAATATGATTCTTGCTTGGTTTGTTCTCTAACTGAAGTTTCCTTCTGAGGGAGTGCTTATCTCTTCCATGATATTATCAAAACAGTTTGCTCTGCAAACTTAACCAAGTTTGTTGGGCATAGGCGATGCATTCTTAAAAGACTACATGATTGGCTGGAACTGCGTTCATTCCTGTGATGCGATAAGCTGTGTGTGCTATCAAGCAATGCTCCTTATTGACAATTTATCAGTTTCTCATTTCCTTATTGTTGAAATTTTATGATGATAAATCAATATATCATTCATATCACCCAACCTATATCTCACTCATCAGTCAGTGGACAGTTTATTAGGTGTCGTTAATACAGCCCACGCCCCCAGAGAATTATATGGCTGCAAAATAAAACAATCAGAATGCAAGTAAATACACGAGGTTTCAGTTACTATTTATCTAAGCATTATAATCGTAAGTAATTTTGAATGTGGTGAGACTGCTGGTATCAGACATGGTGGCAATAGCATCTGAGAAACAGCCACCCTCTTGGGATGTTCACAATTCACAGTATCTAGAGTTGACGGGGAATGGTATGACAAACGAAAAATGTCCAGTCAGTGACAGTGCTGTGAGTGGAAACACCTTGATAATGATTGTGTTCAGAGCAGAATGGCAAGACTCACTGATGCTAATGGTACACAGACAAAATGAACAGCTCTGTTTTTGCACAAATTATGCATGCAAAAAGGCTTCTCTCAATGCAAAAACCATCTGCACAGGCAAAAATATTAGCTGGACAGCTCAACTGCTCATGTGCTGATGGACATGGGTTCGAACTTCAGGTTGGCCAAATCACTGTGGGAGGAGGTGTGTGGCTCAGTGGGGGTTAGAGCTATATGCCTGTGACTGAAAGCTGGCTGCTTTGAGCCCCGGCCTCAGCAGAATAGTCACATCTCACATAGTCACACATGAGGTCCTTAACCATCCTTAAGTCTCAAAGGAGAGCAAGATAGGGTATGTGAAGAGCAGCAATTCAATGTACCCATGCAAACGGCAAAGCATAGTTTCAAAAACAAACAGAGTCCTACCCATTACTAGCTAGGTAAACCTAATAAAGAGGCCACTGTGTATCCTTCATAAATAAGGAATACACAGTCACGAGAACATAGAGCTCTAAAATACGGCCACCAAGGGAGCCCCCCAAAAAACTCCTAGACAGAGAGGGCCACCAATCATTTAAATAAATTATAATGAATGTTCACAGGCATTTAAGAGTGGCAGACCATAAAAGACACGTCATGATACATGCATTAAATATCTGGACAAAAGGCTATCAAATTGTGCAAGTATCTTTTTTTAAAACCGTGCTCCAGAAAGCAAGTAAGAAGCTTATTTTGGCAAATCAGGATGTGATAACTGTAGTTGTGGAACTTCACGGAGTCATTGGGAACCAAAAAAATACAGTCTCTGCAAAGACCACTTTCTAAAGTAATACAAAACAAAATATTTTCTTTAAATTCAGGATAGCCACAGATATTCATTTTTCTGCTGCAAAAATTTGATGACAGATTTGATCACGCCAGATGAGCATATTTTCCAGCTATACTGAATATACTACGTTCCATTATACACAGAAAACTAATTCCTGTCTAAATCAAAACATAAAATCATGAGATACATTTTTATAAGTTTGTTAGTATAGCTTAATAGTTTGGAAAATAGCAAATGACTGAGCAAATGTGTTTTTATATTAATTAAAAATCTGTTTCAATTAAAACAATCAGTTACAACTTCCTTCAGGATACTTTAAGTTTCTGATTCTATCTTCAGTTAATGCCAGTGGAGCCATAACAAATATATTACCACAAAATTCTGGGTGTTAGGGTGCATGCATGGTGTGTGAATCTGCAGGTTGGGACTCTGGGATCAGGACAGGAAGGTCACCAGTTCAAATCTCAGAGATGGCAGAGGGATGTCATAGTGATGTCATTGTTGGGCCCCAGAGACACCGGCTCACCCTGTGTTCCATCCAGACTTGTGCACTGCTTTGGACAAAAGCATCTGCTAAATATGTAAATGTATTTCTATCTAATTTTAGATCATCTCATAATATTAGTAACAGGTTAAGGTAACAGACTTGGAATATAAACCCTGATTATCAATCCTAGCTTACAAAAAAGCCAGTCAAAAATTAAAATTAGAGCAAGACCATTTCTCTAAGCCATAACTTCACTAATTTGTCATCTTAGACAAGTCAAATGCAAACCAAATGAGAGCAACATTACGGCATATAGAGCAGGAGTTCCGGCCCAGCCCTGACGTTATTTATATAATAAAACAGTCAGGCACACTGGCAGGGACGAGGCTTATGCCAAAGAGAGTAATCCCCATCTTCAAAGACTATGTCAGTTATAGGTTTTCCAAACACAATTTCCATAATTACTGAGCTGACACGTAAAACAATACATAAAATCAGCTTTATACACTACCCATTTTATTTCTAAAGCACAAAAGGATCTTGAAAGACCAGAATTTGACACTTAATCTAAGATGTGCACAGCATCACTAGACAACATATCCTAATCCCACAAATCACGTTCAGGCATTGAAAGGCAATCATTAAATTAAATGACAGCTCCACATAATGTAACTGCTATGCATGACACTTTTCACAAAAGACAGGCCTTGTCACCTAATATCATGAGAAATACAAGGTAAAACTGTAAATAAATGTCTTACCTTCTGATTTCAGCTTTGTAAGGACAAAAATTAAATAGTTGTTGAAGTCAGGATACTGGTTTAATTGCTCAAGTTTCTGGTAAGGTAGTGAAGGAAAAATATTTTAAAACACCTGCATACATCTGACACTTTTTAACACATTAAAAAACATCAGTGAAATCTACGGCGACAAACATGCCCCTCTTTCCTCTTTTTGTAATGATGTGAAAGATTTACAGGGGAATTGCTTTATTAAATAAATCCAGATACATCTAATTTGAAAACCGACCACGGAAATCTTACGCACGCTGACAATCATGTACATCCGCCAGATTAACAGGAATCCGACTAAACGTCATATTTTAACATATCAGAAAAAGCACCGTTTTCATTTCCAAGAGGATTATAACAAATTGCGCATTACATTCTCCTTCTGCTGAAAGGAAATACATGCAATTTGAGACTGCTATTATCGTGTACTTTGGGACAGACTGACTGTAAAGATTTTCGCATATTTAATGCATGTTATACATGTGTTCTTGCGTATCCTACATGTTTCGACACGGCAATCGCAAATAACCCCAATATAAACAACCGCAATCTGAACGTCATTTTAAAACCATGTTTAGACTTAAACACAGCCAAAACTGTGGAAATAACAGATCATTATCACCGGGCGATTTTCCCGAGTAAGACAGTTAAATGCCATGAAATGTCTATTTACTGAAATCCTAGGGTTTGCTTTTTCTTTGTTTGACACGGGAGTAGAATCATGCCGTCATCAGCCGCACCAGTAAAACCCCCGAAACCTGCACACGGACCCATTACAGGCGCATTCCACAATAAACTGATTTAATTACCTACATCAATCTTGTTACTCGTTTATGTAGATATCACGCTCAATTATGCATGATTAACATGCACGGCAACACCAAGCGAGAAAATATTACAACGCTACAAAAGCAATCATAAAATCCACTATTTAAAAAAAGGGCACCCAAACCATAAATCTTATACACAATACATTATCCGATGCTTACGGGAAGCAAACGGACTCTGTAGCATGGTGAAACGCATTGGAGCACCATTATACTGACCACATAAAATAGGTGGGTTTTTTATTCTCCATTCCGCGTGTCATCGCAGACAGCCGCAAATTACAGCTACAGGCACAAGAAAAACAAACACTACCAACTCTGCCAGCTACCTCGTTTCTTTTATCATCATTTTTAAGGATACTTGTTGGACTGATCGCTGAGTGGACGTGTCCGGCGACTGTGACTCTCTCAGAAGCTGTAAAATTTGCTGAAGTCCTTGCTCGTCTGGTTTCCACTGATACTCCATCTTGGTTTGCTGCAATGAGATCAGGCGGAGAATGTAATTCGAAATAAAATAAACTGCTACCAGTTTATCTTTTTTAACATATACATATATATGAAACAACGGCGATAACGCTGTAGATTTATATTTTTTTTACAATGGTTTTTGAACTGGAAACCCACCGCTTCTGGTTTATATTCGAACTATAGTGTGAAAGACACAGACATGGGCCTCCGCTTCGCAAGAGCGCTCAGTTTTGCAACAGGCTCTACGCTCGCAGACATGGCGCATTTAGAAACCTGCCTCAAAACCTTCTCCGAGCGGTCCTAGCGCCTGTTACATATACACCCACGAAACGTTACGGGGCTGTCTGACCTAGAATAACAACATGCATATTTCCCCGTCTGAAACACTTCGTTCTCTGCCCTCTGCAGTAATTTAGTCATTGTTGCAATTATTACTGTGATTAATATTGGATATAAATGTAGCTTGACATGCTCTGCCTATCTGTTTTCATTCAAAATGTTAATATCATTTCAGAGGATTTTATTTCTAGGATGAGAAATTCTTATGACACAAAGGCACGTATAAATTATGTGCAATTTTATTTGTTTTACATTGTTAGGATAAAAAACGCTTTTGACTGAAATCTGTTTTGCTTCTATTTTTCAGAATTGACACTGGGTTTGTCCACTGAAATGTTGATGGATATGTAAATGTGTATAAATTCTTTTGCGTTGCTTCGAAAAAGAAAACTATAGGATTACGCTACCCATGTGTGTGAAATAATGACCTTGACTTGATTACAGCTACCACTGTGTCACAATATCAGAGGATATTAGGGCAAATTCACTGTAATACTAATGTCTTGCCTATTCTAGGTCCTTCTAATCAGACATGTATTACCTTTGACTTGAATTATTTTGTTCTGTAGGAATGATGCGTTCTTGCTGTTTTCTGTTAGAAAGCATTATATGATTCCTGGTCATGTTAATAAAACAGACATACACACTAAATACTGAAGCACATAAAAATAAAATGATCAAATTACAATGCAAAAACATGAACCAGAAAATGGAGATTAAGGATAAATGATCATAAATAAACAAATATTTGAGCTCAATCAGGAAAATGGCGTCTGTGCCCACTGTAATGTTATTTTAAATAAAGCTAGTTGCATTTTATTTTAGAACAATAAAATGGGAAGAAATAAGATATATTTAATCACAATGCAGGCAACCTACTGTCTGTGGGGTATGAATACTGCATGTGCACCTGTCTCTTGTTAAAACAAATAAAATTAATTAAGAAACCAAATCAAATTTAAATGTGACATTTATAAAGTTGTTACATGTGACTTTCTCATTTGTGTTATTCGAATGTGATTGTTTTTTCTTTAACTGCTAATTATGTGCCAAGCAGCCATTGGTCAACAGCCACAGCACCTGCAGTTCAGCCTAGCCAATCCTCTGTCCTCTGGGCCTGGTCAGCACTTGGATGGGAGACCAGCTGGGAAAGCTGGGTTGCTGCTGGAAGAGGTGCAGGTGTGACCAGCAGGTTAGCCCATCCTGTGGATCCCAATGCCCCATTGCAGTGACGGGGACACTGTGCTGTAAAAATGATGCCATCCTTCGGATGAGACATAAAACTGAGGTCATAAAAGATCCCTGAGCATCTTTGGAAAGAGCAGGGGTGGTACTCCGATGTCCGGGCTAAAACTGCCCTTTCATATCTGGCTTCCTAATCATTCCAAATACATAATTGGTGAATTATCTCCAGTCCCTTCACCACCTTAGCTACTGTGCAGTGAGTGTACTGGTGCTCAATGGCCGCCGTTGCATAACCCAGGTGGGGCCTCCCCACTGGTTCTGTAAAGTGCCTTGTGCGTCTTAAAAATTGCTATATAAATGTAATATTCATTCATTTATTCATTCAAGAATAAAGTGCTTTCATTTATAGTAGCATATTTGAAAATACAGCAATTTAGACAGAATGGGTAGTAAATTCAGCATACATGTCAATATCAATATGTTAATTAACATTAAAAGATAAGCAATATGTATTTTCTGTCTTCCACCTGTTGAGTTAAGATGTCTGTTTAATTTCCTGTTTATTACAACAAATTTAATTTTACCTTGTCTGGCTTCAGTGGTGTGTTCTGCACCCATATTCCAGAGTTGCCATGGTGACATTAAAGTAGATCTGCCTTTCTTTTCCTTAGGCTTCCGCCGATAAACAAATGTTAGGTTCAAATGCATCACTTTTGGAGCTCTCTGTAGACTTTATTGTAAAAAATGTATATGCTTTCTGCAGTGACTAAAGAAACAGTTTGATTAATTGTGTAGCATCTCATTTAATAGCTGCGATTTCAAATTATATTTGCCGGGCTTTTGAAATATCACTTGCCAGAGGGCAAGTAGAGAACATAAGTTGTTTTGTTTGCTTTTAAAATGTAGATGGTATTAAGTGCGGTGATTTAGATGAGGTGTTTTGGTTAGTGAAGCTGCCTGATCTGTTCCCTTGGGTGTTGGAATACTGTCGTTTCTGGAAAAGCCAGGAACAAATGAGCATTAAAATGCGGATGTAGTTAGTTAATAGGAAAGCTGGTATCAGTGCTGGGTATCAGTGCTGGTATCAGTGCTGGGTATCAGTGCTGGTATCAGTGCTGGGTATCAGTGCTGGGTATCAGTGCTGGTATCAGTGCTGGGTATCAGTGCTGGGTATCAGTGTAGCGCTGGTATCAGTGCTGGTATCAGTGCTG